GGTGTGTGGGGTGCCACCTGGCCGCTTGGGGTATCGTGTGGGCTCTCAGGTGTCAGAGGAGCTTACGGGGTGCCATGTGTGCTCGTGGGGCTTTGCATAAGCTCGTAGGGGTTATTGGGTAATTAGGTTGTATAGGTGTTGTGCTGGGCCACACCACAGAAAAACCCAAACCGATCTGCAGACACATCACGAGGAGTAATTGGAGGGTTAGCAAAGTAGCTGGTTATTGGAGACGTATGTGTGAAGTCGGTTGCAGCCTTGCAGCAGCCCAAAGTGTACTTAAAATGCAGCTCACAAACACACCCAGGTGGGGCGGGGGGCCGGCGGGGCTTCTCAGACTCGAGGTCGGACCCTCCGGGGCATGGAGGGAGGGCTGGGCTGGTGGCGGGGGTGACCCTGGGCTGTGGGGCAGGGACCCACCTTGGCGGGGGAGCTGGCAGCCCAGCCAAAGAGCAGCGGGGAGGGAGGGAGAGAGGTTTGTGGCTTTGAGTCCGCGACTGGTTTTCCGTTCTACAAAGAGGATTTTCGGAATACGAGGGTCGCAGCCCGGCGATGACGGGGGCGCAGTGGGGGACCAGGCCCTGTGCCTGAGGCTCTGCGGATGCGGCTCCGCTGTGGAAATGGCCGTGGGAGGTGCGCCCTTCACAGGTGACGGGGCCGGGCCCGCGAGGCTGGTGACCTGCCCAGGGGCACGCAGTCCACTGTGTGTGTGTGTGAGTTCAAGTGTCCGTGACTAAACGGTGACCCGGATAGCCCTAGGGAGCTGTGAGGCCCGCTGACCGTCACACGTGCATGCGCAGTGACCCCAGGAAGTTCGGAGGTCGCTCTCGCCTCTGATCTCTGCCGAGGTGGGCGAGCGATGGGCCGTCGGGCCAGGCGCGGCCGACACAGCTGTTGTCCCTTCGTTCCTCGTGTTCTGAGCACCCACTGCCTGTCGCCGCGTTTAAGCTACCAGAGACCCAGATGCAAGAAGCCCTCCCTCCCCTCTCTGTCCTCGGAGCCCGCCCACCGGGCACGAACACGAGTGACAGGTGCCAGATGGCGCCCTGGTGGCGGGGGGGCTGTGCCGTGTCGGGGACCATCCTGACTGTCCATTTGCCGTCCAGGGTAGGCCAGGGGCAGGTCGGGGATCCGGCCACCCAGAGCCTGAGGGGCCGCGCCAGGCACCGTGGAGAGCCGCGGCTGGGTCTGAGTTTCAGGAAGGTGACCTCGGCGGGGTGGGGCTGGGGGTCAGAAGAGCAGCAGGGAGCTGTGTTCGTGAGTCTGGTGCTGAGCCCCAGAAACGCGAGCGTGAGAAGGGCGGGCGTCGGGGCCACCGGGGCATGGAGGGAGGGAGGGAGGACAGGGGTCCGGTCTGCAGAAGGGACGAGTAGGTGGGGACACCACTCAGTGTGGGGTGGAACCTCGGGCAGAGTGGCGAGTCTGGGCGAGGCTGGACACTCCCCTCGGGGGGCCGAGGCGAGCATGAGGAAGCGCCCCCCCGCCCCCCGCGAAGAGGAAACGTGTCTGTGGGAACGGACGGGCCCTAGGACAGGAAGGGGAGTCACGAGACAAGGATGGAATTTGCCAGCCCGCTGACCGGGGTCACTCGCATGCTCGAGCGCTTCCTCCTCATTCGCTGCAAGCTGTGGGACCCCCCCGGGCCTCGTCGGGCAGCCAAACCCCCTCTGAAGAGAGGGTGGGCGGTCCCACCTGATAAGTGGGTAGAGACAGGGTGTCGCAGGCAGACAGCTCAAGAGGGTGGCACTGATGACTTCGGGGGCCTCTCAGCTGTGACATAGGGAGTCCAGGCCTGTCGCAGAGGCCTGGCCCCTAAGCTGGGCAGAGTGAGGGGTCCGCCCCCGGGGCGGTGCCACTGCAGCTGGCTCTCTGCATCCAGCCAGGCCGGGGAGGGGCGCCTCCACCTGCGTGCAGGCCTTATCAGTGCATCTGTGGGACGCCACATGACTCACTCCAGAACCCTTGGAGCACCTTCGAGTGGTCTCGTGGGGGCATGTGGACTTGGGGCGAGCCGCTCCCTGTAACTGCACACCACGTGGGAGGTGCCCCGAGGCCCGCCCTCCTTCCCAGCACTGAGTGCGGAGCTGCTGGGGGAGGGCCTCGCTGCAGCCCTGCACCCCGCCCGCAGGACGAAAAGGAATGCGGGGCGCCTTGGCTCCGCGCCCGCTCCTTACGGGTTTTCTGTTGACTGACGCACCATCCCATCTCTGGGCCCGGTGTTTCATCTCCCAGATTTCTGGCAGGCGGAAATGATTTATCGTGCATCAGCGTTTGGTCTTTGTTCTGGAAAGGTAGCACATTTACTGCAGAAGTCTGTGCGTGTTCGGCCCCGCTCACTTTCAAAACGTGTTTCTAACACCTCTTTTTTTTTTTTTTAACCACAACAAAAGTGGTTTTATGCGTTTGCTTTTCTCATTGTTTAAGGCAACGAGCCACCAGCCTCCTCACCGGTCCCCCCTTTCCTCAGGCAGCCGCGCTTCGCACACAGGGGGCGCGGGGCTGTTCGGAGCGGGGCGCGCCCAGCCCCAGGCTCTGCCCTCCGCGGCGCGCACGCTCCCCATTTCCTGCCGCGTCTGGCATCTGAGGCAAAGAGCGTGTCTCCATTCGTAGCCTAAGTTTGTTTTTTTCTGCTCGGGTCCTGCTTTGTAGCGCATTTGACGAATGTCACTCTGCAAGGGTCCCTCCCTCATCACTGGGGTTTTGTTTCTGGAGAGAAGGTGGCCGTTGAGGTTGACGTGACCGTAGGCAGCACTTGCGTTCTCAGCGATTCGGGGGTCTGTCGAGCTCCCTGCGGGATTCGCTGACCGGGCACCTCGGCACAGTGGTCCCTGCTGTGCGTCAAGGTGGCGGCCCTCTGCCTCCTCCCGCCTTCCTGTGTCTGTTGAGGTCCAGGTGTCTCCCTGGCACAGACACGGGGACCCTGGGAGGCTGGACAGACTGTGATTGGGGTGGGGTGCGGGGGTGATCAGGGCAGAGCTCTCTGCATCTGTCCTGGTGTCCTGGGACACGGGCTGGCTTACCAGAGGCCGGATGCTGTCCCTCAGCTGCCCTGGAGGTTGACTTTCTCTTCCTGGCATTTGGCCACCGGCCAGACAGCCACCTGGCACAGAAAGGACAGGAGCAGAGCCAACTCTCCCTCCCCGTCCTTCCTTCAGCAGAGGTAGGAGGCCCCCACCAGCTGAGGCACGAAGAGCTCAGCTCGCTGTCTCTTGTCCCTTGAGGCCATGAAGCACAAAGCTCCTCCCTCTCTCTGGCCACAACTGCTGGACCCTAGAGACCTGTGCAGGGGGGTCAGGGGTGACCAGCCAAGGTCATGGTCTGGGGCCCTCAGCCTGAGCAGGCCACCTCCACAATTTTTTTTTTAACCTTGAATTAAATTTCAAAATTTGAAACCGTGACATGAAAATACAGATTTCCGGCTTCTACTGGAAATGCTAGAGGCTCTGCCTGCCTCTCGTCTCCAGGCGGTGCTGGCTCTTGGCACTGATCCGGGCTGGGGAGGGTCCCTGGGTCCCCAGGTGCCTCACCCCCCCCAACCCCGTCCTCTCTGCCACATCGGGAGCCCAAGGCGCTGTGACCTGTGGCTCTCAGTGCTCTCGAGTGAACCAAACACAAAAACCAAAGAAGTCGATTTCCTGCTTCGGGCACACAGACCCTTGCGGCTGCCGAGAGGCCGATTTGGTCACTTCCCTCCCGCCTTGTGCCCCTTCGGCCCTCGGCCCGCGCCGGTGCTGAGCGGCCCCTCTCGTGGCAGTTCCTGTGCACGGTGGTGGCCATCACGCTGCACTACGTCCACATGAGTGTCTTCGCCTGGACCTTCGTGGAGAGTCTGCACGTCTACCGCATGCTGACGGAGGCTCGCAACGTCGACGCGGGGCCCATGCGGTTCTACTATGTCATGGGCTGGGGCATCCCGGCCATTGTCACAGGTGAGGACGCGGGGGCCCTGGGCGGGCACCAGTCACCACGGGGCACCCCCGGAGCCCGCGTCAGTAAGGCCTCCTCTTCCTTCTGTACCCTCCTCAGCGGAGGAGGCCCCAGCCCTGCACACTTGTCCACACACGCGAGTGTGACCATCCATCCAGTCCCCACTGCGGGCCGCAACTCCTGTCCCGTGTGAGCTTCTTGAGAACTGGTGCCCTGTGGCATTTAGTCAAAAAGTCCATGTCCGTGCCCCAAGTGAACTCAGGTCTGATACCTGGTCTAGACTCCCCCTGAGGGCCAGCTGTCCCCAGCCCCAGGGCCTCAGGTGACAGGAAGGGAGTTCGCTCGCTGCCACAGGTGAGGCCTCACCTGTACATGAACATCATGAACATCGGTCGCTGAAAGGTGACCCAAGGCCAAGCTCAGGGAGGAGACGTGATTGCCGGCACGTCCTAAAGTTTAAGCGCGGGTGTTTAGTTTGCTGGGCCTCCTGCCTCAAAGTACCACGGACTGGGGGGCTTAGAAAAGCAGAGGCTCATCCTCTCACCGTCTGGAGGCCAGAATCCGGTATGGAGATACAGGGCTGGTTCGTTCCGGAGGCTGAGGGACAATCTGCCCGGGCCTCTGCCCTGGTGTCCTGGGTTCGTGGCCGCATCGCTGCAGCCTCTGCCACCATCCCATGTCCTCCCCAGGCGTCTGTCTCAGTCACCCCCTTCCTCTCTCAAGGCCACCGGTCACTGGATCAAGGGTCCATCTTAAGCCAGAGTGATCTCATCTCGAGATCCTTAACTAGTCTGCAAAGACTCTGTTTCCAGATAAAGCCACCTTCACAGATTCTGGGGCTGAGCCGGACCGATCTTCCCAGGGGGGACACCGCTACACTAGGGGACGGGAGGAGGGGGTGAGGACACCCACAGCATGAAGTCACCAAAGTGTGTAGCAAGGAGCCCTCGGAAGGGGTGCTGTCTCCAGAGGCGGGGTCTGCACCCAGAGAAGCGTGCCTCGGAGGCCACGAGGGGCCGCAGCCCGCGCCGAGCCTCTGGGTCAGCACGTTCAGGCGCTCTTTACAACGGTGACGGTTCTCGACGAAGCCCACGCTCCCATGAGGCGCCTGTGCGGGCCAGACCCCAGGCTGGGTATGCCACACGGTCACTTCTGGTGGGGCCGTCCCCATGTCACAGGTGACGTTAAGTGGCTTTCCCTCGTTCAGGTCACAAATGCTTATGGCCCCAGCTGGCCATGAGTGACACAGGAGAGGGCCCTTGCCCTCCTACCCCCCGCAGCACCCATCTGACCGGGTTGCGGGGTGGGTGTCAGGGCCGAAGGTCTCCAGAGAAGGAGCTGGGAGGAAGCAGCCCGGGGTGAGGCCTCGGTCTGAGGTGGGGACGACTTCACTTGGAGAAGCTCGAGGCCATTTTCTACGAGGGGTCACCATAAACACCTAATCTGGGCAAAGAGGAGCCTCTCGAGTTCTCGTGAAATGCCTCGGAGATGGCTTTGCCATCTAAATTCAGACATTTCACATTTCTAACTTGTTTTGAAAAGTTTTTTTTAACACTGAAGTCTTTTGCAAAAGAACTTGAAAAGATTCTGGGGAACCTCAGGCGGGGGCGGAGGCGCTGGCCCGCGGTGCCGCCACCGCAGGCCGGTCAGTGCGTGCAGCCTCGTCACTCGCCCTGCCCGGAGCCCGTGACCTCGCTGGCCGGGCGGGTGGCCCTCGGCCTTGCCTGCGTGTCCATGCCCTCTGTGCGGGGGGCGGGGCGGCGAGTTTCTCACACGTTCTCATCTCTGCTCCACCCTGCGTGGTCACCTCGGGTGTCCCCTCCAAACGGCTGGACACAACAGAGCATCTCTACCCAGGCCCTGCGAGGGGGTGGCCGGTCTGCCGGGCACCAGAGCAGAAGGGAGGGCAGGCCGTCGGAGGTCATGGGGGCTTGTCCCAGCTCGGGCCCCCCAGAATGGAAGGCGGGGTCGGGGGAGGCCACGGCGGGCAGCGGGCAGGTCACATACCCTCCTCTCTTCACTGCTGCCTCCTTGTCTCTCTGTGGTGTCCCTCAGCAGCCCCAGCCCTGGGGGGCTCCTTGTAGCTGCCCGGGCCCGCGTGGCATGGTGCTCCTGTCATTTGGCACTGTGAGGGGCTTTGCTTTGAGGGGACCTGGGCCTTTGTCACATCCCACCTGTTTATCTTGGGCTCCGGGCCCTTCTTTCTGAGGGCGATGCTGGGGTCCTGCCTGAGTGGGGCCGGGAACGCCCTGCTTGTGGCCGTACCCGCCGGGGCTGGCCGTCAGAGGGTCCCCTCCCGGGGTGTCCCTCACTCTCCCCTCCTTGTTGTCCAGGACTCGCGGTGGGCCTGGACCCCCAGGGCTACGGAAACCCTGACTTCTGCTGGCTGTCCCTGCAAGACACCCTGATCTGGAGCTTTGTTGGGCCCATCGGAATAGTTATCATTGTAAGTGGGGTTCTCGGGGACGTGGGAACCTGCTGTGCCCTCGAGGTGTCAGCTGGAGGGGCTGGCGGGGCAGGGAGGGCTGACCTCACCATGGCGAGGCCTCCAGGTTCCAGTCCACGTCCACTGTGAGACCTCTTGGTGTCCAGCCCCCGGGAAGGGACGTCCTCCAGGCGCAGGCCGGCACGTGGGCCCCAGGCCTGCTCGTCCCAGCCTCGCCTCCCCGAGACACGTGTGAAGATGCTCAGAAGCGTTTGGCTTTGAAGGTTTGCTGTGACAATAGACGAGTTGGTCACCAGACTTTGTTTGTTTCAGGTCAATACAGTTATTTTCGTTCTGTCTGTGAGAGTTTCCTGCCAAAGAAAGCACCGTCACTATGAAAGAAAGGGGACCGCGTGAGTTGGCGCTAAACCTGGGGTGGGGGGGCCTGATGTGCAGACCCCCGAGCGTCTGGTCTTCGGAGCCCCCGGAAAGTGCCTGTCACTGAGCGGGCTGGGCCCCTTGGCCACGACCCCGCTCAGCTGCTGCGGTGGTGGGGACACCTGGCTGGGCCAGTTCAGTGGACCGAGGACAGCCTCATGGTGGGGATGCACGGGCTGCCGCGGGGGAGAGGCTGGCGTCTGGACTCTGCCCAGGCTGTGCCACCCGATGGTGTCCGGATCCGAGTGGCATCGGGCGCTGTGGAGGAGCAGGCGGGAGTCTGGCTTCCACGAGGACTGGGGCGGGCAGCGGGGCAGCCGCCAGACCAGGGAGGGAGACGCGTTCACATCCGGGAGGGTTCAGGATGGAGGGCCCCCAGCGTTTGGTGGCAGGTCACGGAGGGGCGCGGGCCTTTCTCGGTGTCCCCCAGGCTCCGTCCTCCCCCGGGGTGGGTGCCGCCCTGGCAGCGACGCAGACCAGGGAGGCAGGGGCAGTGACAGCGGGTGGGGGAGGCGCTGAGGCGAAGGTGGTGCCGGGGCTGCGGGAGTGGAGGGGCCCCCTCGGCTCGGAGGAGGGCCCAGCACGGAAGGAGCCGGCCACGCTGGGCGGCTGGGAGGGGCGGGAGCGGAGGGAGGGGCAGGGAGAGGAGGACGAGGGCACCGCGGCCGGGGTGACCCGCGCCAAGAGGTGGGTGAAGAGACGATGCACGGGGAGGCCCGCCGGGCAGCAGAGGGCATAGGCCTGCCTGGCCCCCGAGAAGGGAGCTTAGAAAGGTTGGGGAAGGGCGGGTGGCTGGACAGACAGATGCGTGGGTGGGTAGGTGGGGGCCCAGATGGGTGGGTGAGAGCGGGCGGGCGGGCGAGACGTGGGGGGCAGGACTGTGGAGTCAGGCCCGGCCCGGTCCCTGCCCCTGCCCTGCAGCTCCCTGCTGAGGACGGCCTTCCTCCTGCTGCTGCTCGTCAGCGCCACCTGGCTGCTGGGGCTGCTGGCCGTGAACAGCGACGCGCTGGCCTTCCACTACCTCTTCGCCGTCTTCAGCTGCTTACAGGTGAGCGGCCGTCTGACTCACCCGGCGGGGGCCCTGGTGAGGTCACGGGTCACGTGTACTGCTCCCTCTCTGAAGTGCTTCGACCCCGGCTGACCAAGAGGGTCCCTGGCAGTGTCCGAACTCCGGGGAGAAACCGGGCCATACCGCGTCCTAGTGCAGCGTGTGAGTGGTCACAGCCAGGCTCACCGCGCACGGTCCCGCCACCAGAAGGAGCCTGTTGTCTTAGGCACGGCTCTGCTCAGAGCCTCCCCAGGGGCTGTGCCCCCTGGTCCTCCTACATTGTCAGGACACCGTCCTCTGCGCAGCCACTGCTGGGGCTCACTCCCCGCCGCCCCGCCAGACCAGCAGAAATCTCACTCGTGTCCCCAGGGAGCAGTGTTGGCCATTTACAGCTCACACCAAGGGCTTCCCAGAAAATCGATTAATGACATACCACGGGAGACCCAGGATGGCGTGAGGGCAGTGGCTGGGATGGGGCCCTCCTGGCCCCCACAAGCTGGCTGCCTTGCCCAGCTGCCCCCAGAAAGCAGAAGCCCTTGTGGCGGATGGCCAAGCGTGGGCCTTGGTGGCATCTGCAGCCACGATGCCAGGCGCTCTGGGCGCTCAGCTGCACGTGTCGGCGGGCTGTGCTCTGTGCATCCTCAGCAGCGGGGGGCGCTCGGCGTGGCGACAGGGCCCGGCTCCTCCGCTGACCTGCTGCCCCTCTCTCCAGGGCCTCTTCGTCCTCTTGTTCCATTGCGTGCTCAACAGGGAGGTCCGGAAGCACCTCAAGGGAGTCTTTATCGGGAAAAAGCCACACCCGGACGAGTCGGCCACCACAAGGGCCACCCTGCTGACGGTAGGAGGCACCCGGGACGCCCACGGGGCCTGGGGGCTGGGCTGCACTGCTTACCACGGTCCGTGTGGGTCCCTGGGCCCAACATTGGTCGCAGCTCCACGGCCTTGGTGTCCTTCACAAAGAGGGCGGCACAGAGCCATCCGTAGATCGTGGCATCCAGCCTGTCATAGTCACAGCCCTGCTTTTTGGGGTCTCGGAAGGACAGGGCCCAGCCGGTGGGAACCCCAGCCGGAAGCAGCGGCTGCGGAGCGAGGCTGGGGGAAGCTCTCCTCTTGGCCTCTTTGAGGCTCCTGTGCTCTGTGCCCGGTGGGGGCAATGTCGTTGCTGGCGCTGGGGCTTGCTGTGGGGCCAGGGCCACCCTCTGCCCCCTGTGGCCTCTGCTCGGAACGTAACCAGCCTCCCCTCCCCCGCCCAGCGCTCCCTCAACTGCAACACTGCCTGCAGCGAGGAGCCGGACATGCTGCGCACGGCCCTGGGCGAGTCCACCGCGTCCCTGGACAGCACCGTCAGGTCTGGCCCCACGGCGCCCTCACTGTCCCCCAGGCTGGGGGGTGGCCCGGCTCTTAGAGCCAGTGCAGGCGTGGTCATCGCCGTCCCAAGCTGGCTGGGGAGGCCCCTTGCCGTGTGTCCGGCTCTCTAGTTTTCCACACCCTTGGGGAGTCACGCGTCTCCCTGGGCGATGGCGCTCAGCCCACCCTCCCCACCCCTCCAGGGACGAAGGGGGCCAAAAGCTCAGCATGTCCTCTGGGCCAGCTCGGGGCGGCCACGGGGAGCCAGATCTGCCCTTCGTGCCCAAGAGCACCAAGAAGCCCCACGGTACGTGTCCCCCGGAGGTGGTCTCCTATCTGCCTACACTTCTGCCTCCCAGGGGACCGTGGGTGACAGCCTCTCCCTGGTCCTTGTCTGTCTGTCCCACGGCCCGTGGTCACCGGAGAACATCCGGCTTTGGGGAGGTGTCTGCGGCCGTGTCACCGTCAGAAAATCAGCAGGGACCGACCCTCTTGCCCTCAAATGCCTGGGACCCAGCGGGCTCTGCTCTGCCCTTGGCAAGAAGCCTGGCCCCGGCCTGAGCCCCCGTCCCTCCTGGCCACCTGCAGGCCACGACTCGGACTCCGACAGTGAGCTGTCCTTGGATGAGCAGAGCAGTTCTTATGCCTCCTCACACTCGTCCGACAGTGAGGACGATGGTTTGGAAGCTGAAGACAAGTGGGACCCGGCCCGGGGCCCTGTCCACAGCACCCCCAAAGGTGAGGGAGCGGGCGCAGCAGGCCCGGACCGAGAACTGGGCAGCATGAGAGGCCGGCCGGTGGGAGGCGCGGGCAGGGAGGGGGCACCCGCCTCACCACCCGCAGAGGACAGGCGTGAATGTCTTGGGGGCCCCTCAGTGCAAGGACCCAACAAAGCTGACCCCACCTGCTATGGGGAGAACCAGCACAAGGCTCCCAGGAGTTGGGGGTGCAGCGGGGGCGTTGCAGCCTGGGCCCCCGCTGTCAGGATCTTCCCTCACAGCCTGTAGGGTGTGGCTCTGCCAGGCCTTCAGGTCCTGCAGTGCTGGGACAGGGCCACTCAGGAGGGACGATCTGGAACCTTTCAGGGGTGTGGCTCCTATCAGTGGGGGGTGGGGCCTCCCTGCTTGTTGAAAGTCATCACCCTGTGTCTCAGACCCTGTGGCCAACCACATCCCCGCCGGTTGGCCCAAGGAGAGCCCGGCTGGGAGCGACAGTGAGGAGCCGGGCGAGAAGCCGTGCCTGAGGGTGGAGACCAAGGTCAGCGTGGAGCTGCACCTGGACCAGCAGGGCGACCACTGCAGCCAGCGCCCCCCAGACGGGGAGCGCGGGGGCCAGCCCAGGCCTGCGGGTGCTCCCCCCACCCAGCCCCCGGAGCAGAGAAAAGGTGCCTCGATGTGGTGAAGGCCCTGCTGCCTCCAGAAGCCCCTGTCCTGAGAGACGGTGGTGGAGGTGGGGGGGGTGGGGAACAGGTGCAGAGGTGGCAGGGCCTGCGGGATGGGCGGAGCCTGTCGGGTAGGCGGGGCCATGCTGGGCGGGGCTGAGCGGTGTGCAGGTGGGTGGGGCGGGCTTGCTGGATGCAGGCGGGGTGGGACAAAGGCAGGTCCATGGGAGACAAGGTCCTGGGGACTGGGTTGATGTCCGGGCAGACAAAGTTGGCCATCCGACCCTGCCACCGTCTCTGAGAGCCCAGGAGGGTGGGTAGTCCAGCGGCGAGGGATTCTCGAATCTGTAGGGACCGTCCCTCCCTGAGGGCGCGGCAGCCAGCAGGTCGGCCTGATCGGCACCTGCATCGCCCGCGTCCCAGGCATCTTGAAAAACAAAGTCACCTACCCACCGCCGCTGACAGAGAAGACCCTCAAGTCCCGGCTCCGGGAGAAGCTGGCGGGGTGCGAGCAGAGCCCTGTGTCGTCACGCTCGTCCTCCCTGGGCTCCAGCGACGGGGTCCGTGGCACCGACAGCGCCATCACCGTCAAGAACCTGCGCCGGGACCAGGGGCGCGAGCACCTCAACGGGGTGGCCATGAACGTGCGCACCGGGAGCGCTCAGGCCCACGGCTCCGACTCCGAGTGAGTTATCAGCAGGGGCCCCCAAGCAACTTTGTTTGTCCCCGCCCAGACGCAGTGGTCAGGGGCCTGAGCACAGGAGCGCCAGGCCACACTGGCGTACCTCTGGGTGGGGGGCGGTTGCGTTTCAGCCTGGGGTCAGGAGGCACCAGCCAGAGATGGGGCAGAGCTGGGGCCTTTCCTGGGGGCTGCCAATATTGAGGCCCTGTTGGGGCTACATCAGCTGTCACCCCGAAGTCTGGGTCAGCCCTGGAACTCTAGGACTCAAGGCCATGCTGGGCTAAGCGTTTTGATAAGCACCATCTCCCTGGCTGGTGGTCCTTCTACCCCATCTTGTGGTTGAGGAGACAGGCTCAGAGGCAGGGAGCTAGGACCCTCTCAGACCCACCTGCTGACCTGTCCCCATGGCTCCTCCCTCTTACGGACTTCCGAGGGAGGAGCAAGGAGTGGGAGCAGGCCTTTGAGAATGGCCTTCCTGAACCTTAGGGGACTGGTTTGGTCGCTAACCTTGACACGCCGTGCTCTGGTGCGTGGCCAGCTGTGGAGGATGCTCGGCTGGGCCCGGCCTGGCCCTGGTTCTCGGGGCTGCAGGCCCGACCTGCGCCTCTCCTGCTTCCTTCCAGGGTAGCTGTGTCCACCCAGGAGCTTGCGCTCCCTGGAGCTCCCGGGCACCCCTGTCCCCTGAGTGGGGGGGTTCTGCCCCTCGTAACCTAGGACCCAGCCCAGCAGCTGGCTGCAGGGACAGTGGGGTCTGTCTTTGCTGACTCTCCATCTGCCTGGTGGCTTCTTCCCACGCACAGAGGCAGTAACGAAACTTCAATTTGAACCATCAGGAACCCGTGAGACAAGCCCGTCACCTCTGCCCGGACCTCTGTTGTATCGTCACGCCCTTGGACCTTGGAGCCCGAGGGGCCACTGCCCTTACAGTGAAGCAGGACCTGGTGGTCCCTGCAGTGGCAGCCCCATGACTGGTCCAGCCCCGGGCTGCCCCCAGGGGCTCTGGCTCCATCCAGAGCTGTGACAAGTGCCAAAGGCCACAGGCACGAGGCGGCATGGACCCCCCGGGCCAGCACAGCTTGATCCTCAGACTGCAGACGGAGCCAAAACCGTGTGCTGGCCTCGCCAGGAGAGGGCCCGGCACCAGAGCTGGCAGGGCCGAGCTGGCCTTGTGTGAGAGGGACTGCCTGTCTGGGCTCGCCAGGGTTTGAGGACATCGGACAAAGACCAATGCGGGTGCCTTCCTGCAGTGCAGGCCCCTGGCCGGTGGCTGTGGGAGCTCTTTGCAAAGGCACCCCTGTCTTAAATGACTTATCTTTGTGGAAAAGGTGTCGATACTTTCATATGTTTGTATGGAACTGTGAGGTGACAACCAGTGTATATTTTGCATTTGAGCTGACTCTGTTGATACTGGGAGACCCATGAAATGATCTCTCCCTGTTTTTTATATAACGAAGAATGCACAGTTGTACTTGAACCTGGCTCGCATCGCTGCAGCTGGTGTCCCAGCGGATCAGAGGCGGGAAGGGAAGCGCTTTGGGAGAGAGGTTGAAGCTAAGCCGTTAGACACAGGTTCCTGTGCCGATTCCAGCCACTGAGCAAGGAGCCCTGGGCATGACACGCGGCTGCCTGAATTCACGGCATGTTCGCATTTGGGATGTTTGCCCTCAGCTCCCATCTGCCTCCACGGCTGTGGATCCGAGACGGGGATCGGGGACTGGGTAGGACTCGAGGAGCCCTGCTGAGGTCCGTGTGGAATGCAGGTGCCACACGGTGGTCATTTTCACGCCGGTCGTCCCCTGGCCACACCCCCACACCAGGCCCTACTGCAGGGCCTCCCTGGACCCCTTCCCAGTTGGCCTGGCAGTTTAGGTGGGGAATGCCATTGTCCCCTCCGCTCCTGGTCTCCGTGGCATTTTAAAGTGTTCACAAGTTCCCGATTCAGAGGGAGCTATGAGGTCTTCTGGGATGTCACATTCCTTCCTGCCAATTTCCTAGCTCTTTTAGACATCGAGGATCCCCAGGCAGGCTGGGTTCCCACCCGCCCCGAGTCTCACCAATTACTTCATTTCGCTTCAAATGGCCAATTGTGCAAAGGGACAAAGCCGCAGCCACCCTTTCAATGGCTCCCAAACTGTTTTTTGGAAACTCACACCAAGGACCAGCTGTGACTGTCCCATTGTGGGCAGTTGGCACAGCGTGGCCCGAGGGGCTGTGGAACAGGGCCCAGAACCATTCAGACACGTTTTATTTCAGCGTTTCCTTTGTTCTTCGGATCAGGTGCCCAAATAAACGATCAGCACAACTGCATCCAAATATGAGACACCATAAAATACGAAAGTCAAGTAAAACGCAAAGATTTCCGTTCTGTGTGATTCTGATGAAAACGCGAGCATGTCAGTGACTGCGCGAGTGGAAACGCACGTCTGAAACTGGCCTAAGACCGCAGCATAGTACAGAAATGAAATAAGATCCCAAAGCCCTTGGCCTGAACGAATTATGTATATATGTGCCTTAACAGGTGAGGGCCTCTTGAAGATACTGAATGCTAGTGCCTTCAGATGGCCACCACTGATGAGACGCTGTCTGAGTAAGGAATTTTAATATTTTTGAGTCTTTGAACACTCCATTTTCATATTATTGCTTACTCTTCCTGCAAATGAGTTTTGCCCCTTGAGGTGTAGTTTTTATTTTGATTAGAACTGTTACCAAAAAAACAATTGTCAGTTTTATTAAGACAGGAAAAATGTAAAACCTATTTTTGTGACTTAAGACTTTATGACAGAGATTAGACACTGGAGGGTTTTTTTTTTAATGTATATTTATTAATGTTCAGAACACTGGAATTCCAACACAAATGAGAAAAGAATCTACAATAAATTAAGATTTTTGAATCTGTGCTTCTGCCCTGCTGGTTCCTCCCCTCCCCCGCTCGCCTGCTCCTTCCCCTTTCTAGGGCAGCTGTGGAAGGGACAGGGTCAGGATGCTGGTGACAAGCCTCGCGGAGCAGGAACTGGGCCAGGACTTTCTGTTCATTGTCCTCCAGGGCTTTCCTGAGATCTATAAATTTATGTCTTTTACCCAGTTGGGGAAATTTTTAGGTTTTTGTGTTTTGTTTTTTTTTGGTTTTGGTTTTTGTTTTTTGTTTGTTTTTTTTTTGCACCAGTCTCTTCTGTCCTTCTGCCCCAGGTCTCTGAGGCTCTGTTCACCTGTTTTCATTCTTTTTTTTTTTCCTCTCTGTTCTTTAGATTTGATCATTTCTCGTGACCGATCTACAAGTTCACTGCCTCTTTCCTCTGTCACCTCCATTCTGTTGATGCCATCCAGTGAATTTTATTTCACATATTGTCATTTTAAGTTACAAAATTTCCGTTCGGTCCCTCTTACAAGCGTTACTTCTCTGCTGAGGACGTCTAGGTCTCCGTGCGTTTCTCGAGTGTTTGCTTCGTGGAGCGTGGTTATGACACTGCTTTAAAGCCTGATCACAGGAACGTCTGGGCCACTCTGGGGGCGACTTCTGTCGGTTCCTTTTAGCTTGGCATTTTCCTGCCTCTTCATGTGCTGATTAATTTCAAAGCGAATCTTTGATGGACATTTCGAATGTCGTGCGACTTCTTGGTCTTGTTAGAATCCTCTGGCGGATGTCATTTTTAAATCTGTTTAGCAGGCAAGTGACCAGTTAGGCGAGGACCACGAGCTGTCACCTGCGAGCAGTGGGTTCCAGCTGACGTTCAGTGTCCCGGCTTTTGCCCTGCTGCATGGGGTCTACCTGCCCGGTCTGCCCCTCGGTCGGTCTGAGACGTGGCTGGTGGTTTCGGTCTTGGTTCTGTTCTCCAAGCCTTGGCCGCGCTTTTCCGGGTCTGCCCCCTGCGCCCACAACCCGGGGGTGAGCCAGCACCCATCGGCGTGTGTGGAAACTGGGGGCCCCTCCTCAGCTTGCTCCTGTCTGGAATTTGCCTCCCATGCTCTAACTCTTTGGGCCTCTTTTCTCGGTTCCTCTGTCCAGGAAGGGTTCTAGTCAGTCGCACTGTCTCAATTCCCCCCAACTGGGGCCACCCTCGGGGAAAATGGAAACAAAGAGATTGGGGCTACCCTTGGATCAAATCCAGTGGAAAAAAGAACCGCCCACAAACGCCCCCACCCCCAAAGGTCGTTCTTCGAGTTTTGCTGCCTCCCCAGTCACTTGTCAGAGGCTCAGCAGTGAACATGACCGAATGGATCTCGACCCCAAAGCTCAGCTTAATGGGGAAACATGGAAGCATGAGAGAGAGAGAGGGAGAGGCCTGGGGGTCCCGCAGACACATCACACCCAACGCCAGCCTCAGACAAGGCCGCTCTGGGACCAAGAGGGACCGAGACAAAACGAAGACCCCTCTGAACCCGCGTCTGACACAGACACAGACGCTGGACATCTGAACGCTGCTCAGGCCACAGAAACATCCGAACCTCCCGTCCAGCTGCAGGAGCGACTGCTGCCTCGCCAGTCACAGCTGCGGCCTCGCTCCAGGCTCCCTCCCTGAAGGTGAGGTTTATTTGGACACCCGAGGGTGGGGGACATCAACAGCTTGGGGTGGCTTCCCTGGACATGGACGGGGCGGGGCAGAAGACAGACTGCGGGCTTTGAAGCCGCCTCGGGGCCTAGGGAAGGGGCCTTCCAGGTGTGGAGCGAGCGGCTCTAGGATCTGACGGAACACTCTGGAAACGAGCTTCAGAGGCTCTGAGCCCAGATCGGTTTTCCTATTTCTATCCCTTTCTCTCATCATCAGCA